ATGTGATCCATTTTAAAAACATTAGATGCACCACAATTCATCAATCCCAATCCAGTAATCTACGCCGGTGCGCTGGGGGAGCCGCTGCGAATGCATTGCGCGGTGGAGGGTAATCCGCGGCCGGAGGTGGAGTGGCGTCTCTCCTCCACAACCTCAACAACCTCCGTAGCCACTACTGGCGTTGTTGGCGCCTTCGTGGGGGCATTGGTGGGACGGGGCGAAACATTTACGAGGGAGAAAATTCACGAGAACGATTTTGGCACCTACATTTGTACTGCTCGATCGGTGGGCTTTCCTTCGGTGTCAAAAAAAGTTATTCTTGCCAAAAAATGTGAGTTCTAATTTGGCCAAGTGTTTATCGTCCCCAGCGACGCCTCTTGTATACCTCACGTAAAAGTTCTTATACTTAATATATTTTTTTCTAAAGTTTGTTTGATACAAAGTTGGAGAGAGACAGCAAAGGAAACACTTTGACAGTCAGATAAGCGCTTTAACCTGATGCAAAATCTGTTAATTTAATGGATTGCAGCCTGTCAGAAACTCGCTTAATCCTCTCCCCTAATTTACCCACCAAATCGCTGCAGATGTTCAGTGTGGACATAAAAGTTTGTAAATTCAGAGTCGATTTAGCCGATGTAGCTTGAAGGAGCAAATCTTTCGACACTGGTGCCAAGTTTGGATGACCCGCAGAGATTATCCAAACTTGGTGAGCAAAATGGAGGGAGGAGGAGAGAGGGGAAGGGACACCAAGAGGGCTCTGTAGACCTCCTTAAGCGGATACAAACAACTCGTTTTCTTCTTTTTCCTCCATACTCCGTGGTTGAAACAAAAAAAATCCCCTCATGTCCACTCAAAATTGACGGTGGTTGATGAAGTAACAGAGCTAATTATTACCGTGAAAATCATATTTACCTCTCAATGTCACTTTCATTTTATTTTCTCTTTGTTCGCAGTTTATGAAGTGTCTTAACTTTATTTGCTAATAAAACTGTAGGATGGGCATAGGTCAGTTGTCCTTATTTCCTCGCCCTCCCCCTCCGCCCTCGATAGGTGAAGGCAAGAGAAGAGGATTTTGACATCCATGCTCCCCCAAAACCCTCCTGCATTAGTTTCTTAAAAGCCTTTCTAAAGTTACAACTCAGATCTGTCACCAATTAGACATCATTCTACTGGTTGTCTCGCCCTTACTCCCTGCCTTGAAGATCGCGCTCACGATTAAGACTGAGGGGGCGAAAGCGATTCTTCAAGTTGTCTCGAGACACCACAGCATGTATCACCGTCGAGCGCATTGGCAAAACCTAAGATTGAGGAAACTGAGGCATCCCTCTGGTCAACTAACAGGAGTCGCGTCCCGACCGAATCCAGTACAAGGAAGAGGTGATTGTGCTGACTGTCCTGCATATGCAATTGCAGGCGTCAAAACACTCAATCGAAGGAAAAGCAAATTTTTGTGGCATTTCGTGCCTCTCCTATTTGGTGCCTTTTCACACTTCAATACTGTCTCGCGTCTCCCAATACCGTGGACAGGCACGTAAAGAACTTTTCCAGGTGGTTTATGGCCGCAGTTACTTAGATTGTTAATAGCATTCCTGTAGGCCGCGAGACTGGGCGATTTATTGGGGGAAGACGTCACAGATCCTCCAATCCAACGCATAATACCATCTTCCATCTCATTACTATTCACACTTTTGGATTCGAGTTCCTTTGGAAGACAGAAGAAGTCATAATGTCAGGACAAAAAAATTCATTTCAATGCACTGAAAGGCTGCTGGCAGGACCAAAGAGTCACACGCCTCACTGACAGCACAAACGCATAAAATGAAGTAAAAAGGGTCTTCACTGAACTGCTGGGGCTTAAAAAGTCGCCGAAATTCACATAATCGTCTCCGTCCAACGTATCAAACCATCACAAAGCTTGAGGTGTCCAAAAGATTTTCCTTTAGCCTCAAATGGAATCAAGTTTAAGTATATTAAAGGATTCAAAATCGACATAGGTGTTTTTAAGTTAATGGCCTAAGTCATGGAGCTGCGGAGGGGAGAAACAGAGAACTGAGAGGATTGCGCTGGCACTGCTCCACCCTTTCAAATGTCGATTTCACTTGGACTTACTGCCCAATTCTTTTACTCCTCCCACAAGGCAGAATTGAAACCGCCCAAAAAGCATCATAAGAAGTGTCGCCGCTTTTTGATCCACCTTTTTAAATACCCTCTTTTCTGTTAGCACTTTGACAGTAGAACATCTTTCTCCAAAAAACGAGATTTTGAGTGACAACGAGGTGACGGGAGCGTTTCCGATGCCTCTACGGTTCGTTTACATGCTAAAAAGTGGATTTGGGCTGATAGAAAAATAATTACTTGGGAATATTAAGACGCCTTCAGGGCGGAGGCGCGATAACAACTCTTCACATCGAAAAGTTCAAATCATTTAACAGCACGATAATCAAACGGATTTAAAGAAAAAAATTAGTTAAAATGGGAATGAATAAACCAAATCTATCACAGTGCTAAAGTTGGATATTGTATTGTTCCTGTAAAAATATACTTGTCCCTTTCGTGGCAAGTTGGTTGCCCTTACGATTGATAACTGTGATTTCGACTTCTCCATAGTGTATAGAACTTATTTTTAGGTGATTCAATTATCCCTCGTTCTAATCAAACTATTTGCATTGGAGGTAGAAGCTGTCCCTATGATAATTAAATATGAGTCCATCCATCCTCAAGTTGTAAATAACCTTATTTGTATTCCCATGTGGGCGAATTGCACAAGTCAACTTTACCCCAGCATCATTTTGCCCATTTAACCAGGTACACGAGGCAGCGCACACATTTTTTTTGTCTCCTCCCTAAGGCAAACAAAAACCAAGTGATTACAGTTTTTCCTTTGGCTTTCCGCCTTAAAGACGACGATTTACTTGCTGCTCAAAAAGTTGCTGCTCACAACAGGCAGTTGTGGTCAACTCAATTCATGCGGAATCCCATCTAACCGACACCCTTTTCACTTCTGTGGGGGATTGTTTTAGCGGCTCCACGGATTAGACCGACTGAACCGGTGTATGCGGCCATCGGAGCACCGGCCAGACTTCCATGCACAATTAACGCTATTCCCTTGCCACCACCGGAGGGGTTGCTCTGGTTTCGTCGCGACATAGTTCTTCGACCATCCTCGCAGTAAGTTTAACATCTCCTCTAATTTAATATAGGCACATGTCTGAGCCTTGTTTTCGAATGTAATTTTGGGAGAAGATTTTTTGTGCAAATTAGAAGCATTTTTAAAAAATTTATTTACAACTGCGTATCCCCTTTACTTGGTGCTCCGTTTTCATTTAACTAATCGTAAATGCTCTTTTATTTGGATCTTAATACCGAAAATCCCTCCACTACTTCACCTCTATTTTTTCCCCTACCTCATTCAATTATTGTCAGTCAAATGTTAAACATTTTTCCAACTTTCACAATAATGGACTGAGTAGGACGGGGCAGGGGATCCTCTGGCCGAATCCAGAGGTCATCCTGCACATCGACGCACCGCAAGCGATCTTCGAGTGTTATTCCTACCAAAAGTTCTGCTCGACCTTAGCGCATGCCAAGCTAGGAACTTGTTGATCTGTAACGACTCAAAAAACGCATAAAATTACTCACAGATACTTCAGCTCTACTAAAG